TCCTGTTCCAGCCCAGCTGGCTGTTCCTGGGTGCTGCCAGGCCTCTCTCCTTCCCCCAGTGTGTGCCCGGGAAGCTTTGCACAGCAGGATGCTGGGTCCAGTTGCCATGGCAAAGCGAGGGAGCCGTGGCACGTGGGCCCTGCCTGTGAGCTGCCTGGCACAAACTGTTCCCACAGGTACCCCAGAATCCTCCTGTCTGTCCATGCTGAGTCCTGGGTGCTGGTCCTTGCTCTGTCCAAGGCCCAGGCACGTTGTGGGTGATCACACTTCACTGTGTCTGTGTCCCACCCACGTTACCTGCCTGAGCATCACCTGCTCACTCAGAAAAGATGGATAAAACAAGTTACCTTCTGGGAAATTAAATTATTTAGTTCCTTACTGGGATTGCCCAGTAGTGAATGACAAGCTCAGTGCCCAGCATTTCAACCCCTCTGCAGAGTTACAGCTCCTGGTTTTGAGCTGACGGGAGTTTCCAGGTCTCTGTGCTGCTGGGGCTCAGGAAATGTGGTTGTTGAGGATGGAAACGCTCAACAGGCAGGGGAAACAGGCCAGGTCATTGCAGGGGAGATGTGCAGGTGTGTGTGGGACCAGAGCATCCGTCCCTTCTGTGAGAGCCTGGGGGATTTTAACACCAAACACCAGAACTATGAATGTTCAATACCGGAATTAGGGTCTAAGTGTGGCTTCATCCTACTGGTTGTTTTCCCTCTTCAAAACCAGTCTGTGCCTGCAGAACTGACCCAAATCTGTCCCTGTTTCCCAGCAGATGGGGGTAAGTCTGTGTTAGGGATCCTTGGAAATTTCCATCGGCGCTGGAGTGTCTCGGTAGCGATTTGAAGGGAAACTCTGAGCCAACGTGGGCTCTCTGGAGGGACAGAGGTCACCCCACCTGTGCCACAGCTCCGAGCTGCAAATCATTCTGCCAGTCCTCCTTCAGCCCCAGTTGAGTAATCGTGGGGATTACCTGTCTCTAAGACAAACATGGAAAGATAAGGCAGTGTCAAAGGAATTGCTTTTGCTTCTTTATGGCTCTTTGGAAGAGCTGACCCTGATGCTGGCTCTGCTGGGGTCTTTCCTTGCACAGCAGCACGTTCTGCAGCGCCAAAATCCTTCCTGACAACTTTTTCATAGCAATCCAGGCAGAATTGGGGCCTTTGAAATGTGCCAGCACTGATCCACTTAAGCATTAGGAGAGCATGAAGTGACAGGACACGGGGGGATGGTTTCAAACTGAAAGAGGAGGTTTAGGTTGGATATTGTGAAGAAATTGTTCCCTGTGAGGGTGGGGAGGCCCTGGCACAGGTTGCCCAGAGAAGCTGTGGCTGCCCCAGCCCTGGAAGTGTCCAAGGCCAGGTTGGATGGGGCTTGGAGCAACCTGGGCTGGTGGAAGGTGTCCCTGCCTGTGGCAGGGGGTGGAATGAGATGAGCTTTAAGGTCCCTTCCAACCCAAATAATTCTGGGATTCTGTGATCAGCTGTTAATGGTACCTGATCATGTCCTTAAGAGTCTGCTTATGTGCTTTTTGGATTTTTAGTGGTTTGGGTTTAGAACCCCAGAATGGTTTGCATTGGAAGGGACCTTAAGGATCATCCAGTTCCAATCCCCAAATCTGCTTTTCTATACAAACCCCAGTTTGGGTACTTTGGATTGTATGGGAAAGCAAAGGAAAGGTGGCAGAGCTGCACAGTGAAGCAAAGGGAAACAATGAAACACAGGGGGTGGGTAAAATAGGCGTATTCTGACTTTTCTGCTGGGGTAGATGGATGTGGGAAATGTTCTCTGTGATTCCTAAAAAGGGTTTTTGGAAGCTGTGGCTGGTTTGGTACCACCATTTCCTGTTCTCATTGACACAGTTGCTGTTGTCACTTGTTTAACAAATCGGTGCAAGCCCAAACAAGGACAAAAATAAGTGTCTGTTAATATGAACAGATTTATCTGTTCTCATCCCCACGCCTTTTCCCACGGGCAGAGTTTCCATGTAGCTTATCAAGCAAACCTTAGTGCCAAGGATTTCATCTCTGTGAGGGGCAAAGGCTGCTCAGAGCAGGGCTTTGTTGTCCTTACGTGTTCGTGGCACCTCTAAACACAAGGCAGGTGCTGGGGCAGCCTCTGCTCAGGGGGACACAGGAGGATGGCTGGGTTGAGGTGTGGGATCCCAGAATGGTTTGGGTTGGAAGGGACCTTAAAGATTATCCTGTTTCACCCCCTGCCATGGGCAGGGACACCTTCCACTAACCCAGCTTGCTCCAAACCCTGTCCAACCTGGCCTTGTAGCTTAAACTGGATCTGTAGCAGTCACCTGTGGGATGTTGTGGAAAACATGTTATGCTCAGGAGTTGTGGGTGCAGGAAAGTCACAGTTCGGGGTTAACACGAGATCAGTGGGCCTCTGCCAGTCCCTGGTGGTAAATCCAGGCCAGGTACCTGCTGCTGTGAGCCCTTGGCTGTGGGAGGGCTGGGCAGTGCTGGGGGGATGCTGTGCCCTTCCAGTCCCCCGCTCTGCCCACCCTCATCTCTCTGGCAGTGACCTGTGACCTCCCTGAGCAGCCCCACCACCCTTCTCCTTGCACACTCCCCTGGCACCTCCCAGTGTGGCACAGCTGGAAACTTCTGATGATTCCTCCATGGCTGGTCCTGCCCCTTTGGTAGGAGCCAGGTGATGGCCCGGCCTCGCTTATCCACCAGGAGATTCCCTGAGGATTTATGTGTTCAAGTGCTTTAGGAGTCAGAGCTGGCAGGTGTTGAAAATATCATCCTACTTTTATTGGCTTGGTTTTGTCCCTGTTTTTCGGGTTAACTGGAACTGTGTGCAGGGAGTGCTGGTTTCCCTTGGAGCCATCCTCGTGCCCAGCAGTAGTTAGGGAGGAGCAGCATTCCCTGGGCTCTTGGGTTAGTGGCACATCAGCCATGGCCCTGCAAAAAAACCTTCCCTCTCCCTAATCTTCCAAAACAAATCAGTCAGGGCTTTGCACAGCACTGAAATCTCCCAGGCTGCTTTCTCCAAGGATTTTGCCTCAGTCCCACATGGCAGCACTGGCTTGCTCTGGGTGCAGAACTGCTTGGCTGGAGCTCCCAACACCAGGGCAAGCACATTCCCTCAAGATTCCTCCTTTGTTCTGTCCTGCTGCAGGCCTGTGCTCAGTAATAATTAATTCCTTTGTTGCATGAACGTGGAGCGTTTCCTCTGGAAGGCTCAGGCAAACATCCCCACTCCCTCAAGAATGGTAAATGTTTAAAAGCCAAGGACACAGGGTTAATCCTTGCCTTTGGGCTGTGACCTCCCAGTGCTCCAAAGCCACCGCTCTGTTGGGAGACAGAGCATGGACACGGCCCCAGCCACGTTCCACAGGTCCATGCAGAGGGTTCACAGGAGCCCAAAGACCAGCCCAAGCCAGCCCTCACTTCCACATCCCAGTGGTTTCTATCACCTGATGCCAAAAGCTTTTGTCTGTAGGAAGCGAGTTCTTGGGAGGGGCAATGGTTTGATGGAGGCTCATTTAGAGGGGCCTGGACTGGGCTTCTCTGGCCTGACCCTTGTCTGTGGTGTGGCCAGCAACAGAGACAGGCAAGTGGAAATTTCCTTCCCATCCCCAGCGCCTTGTGACAACATCATAAACCATCCCTGGCGTTCTTTACCCTGCTTACGAGAGAAAAAAATCTCTATAAGCGGCAATCCTTAATCACCCACCACAAACATGGGATGTTGCAGGGGATTGCTCAAGGCAGTGACACAGGGCAGGGACACCCCGGGGGGCTGGACTGATCCCTGCCTGGGTGGTGGGCACATTCCTGCTGCTCCAGGTGAGCTGCACTGCAGGGACCTGCGCTGGCATTGCTGGGGCAGCGTCAGCTGTGCCCATCACTGGATATGTGTTATATTAATTTATAATTAATACCCCAAAAATAATTTAAATCTGGATTCTTTCTGCCCAAGTTAAAATTCCATCCCAATGGAACTGGTTGTGCTGGGAGCTGTGGGTTGTGGGACAATGGTTCCAGCTCTCAGTTGTCCCCTTATTCCCTCTGCCCTGGCTGAATCTGGCAGTTCCAGGCAGTGATCCCTGCTGGGGCAAGAAGGATTTAGGGAGGGTTTGAGTGTTGTGATCTATGCCAATTTTCAGAGCTGCTGGTGGATCCCTTGGGTCCCTTGCCAGCATCTTTTATTTGAGAGCAGCACAAGAGGGATACAGGCCCCCAGCTTTGGGAGTTCTGGGCAGGACGTGGGCTGAGCTTTAGGGAAACTTTGACTGATGGTTTTTACTCAGAGGGTGGGGAGGCCCTGGCGCAGGTGGCCCAGAGAAGCTGTGGCTGCCCCTGGATCCCTGGAAGTGTCCAAGGCCAGGTTGGACAGGGCTTGGAGCAACCTGGGCTGGTGGAAGCTGTCCCTGCCTATGGCAGGGGGTTGGAACTGTTTCTTAAAGGTCCCTTTCCACCCAAGCCAGTCTGATTCTGGGATAGCTGCACCAGCCACTCCCCAGGGTGCTGCTGGATCCCTGTGCCCGATGCCATGGCCCTTCTGGCAGGTGCTGCCTCTTGGCAGCACAAGCAGGTGAGGGGGCCAGCTGGGCTGCACAGGGGCTCTGCATGAAAGGAATCACATCCTGAATTTGGCATAAAAACCTACAACCGAAGAAAAAAAATCCAAGGGAAAAATCCCCCCAAGCCTTGAAGCAAGGCTTGGCAGCGATAACAGTTTTTATATCCCTGGGGGCCGGCCCAGCAGCTTTTATTGCCCCTCTCCTTTTTTTTTTTTCCTTAGCAATGCAAATCCAATCCATATTTTAGAGCCTCCCCTGCGCTGCCCGTTCACAGAGGTCCGGGGGAGCCTCGTGGCAGGACAGGAGGGACCCTTGGCCCTACACCAGGCGCCTCGGTCCTGCTGGTGTGGTGTCTGGAGGCTCTGCCCTGCAGCATCCCCTGCACCGAGACCCTGCCCTGCAGCATCCCCCGGACCCAGTCCCTGCCCTGCAGCATCCCCTGGACCAACCCTGCCGTGCCCCCATGGCCGGTGCCGAGCTCGGAGCCCGCACGGGGCGGGAGCTGCTGGACATGGAGGTCAAGGCCAAGGGCTGGCGGCCGCCCTGGTACGAGCAGCACGTGCAGCCGTGCGTGGCAGAGCTGCTGGGCACTGCCCTCTTCGTCTTCGTGGGCTGCCTGGCCGTGGTGGAGGACGCGGGGGGCGCGGGGCGGCTGCAGCCCGCCCTGGCACACGGGCTGGCCCTGGGCACCGCCGTCGCTGTCCTGGGGGACATCAGGTAAGGGGGGCTGGCACTGGGGCTGGGGTGGCACACAAACCCTGCTGGGATGGCACACACCTGGCTGGAGTGGCACACACTCTGCTGGGGTGGCACACACTGCTGGGGTGGCACACACCTGGCTGGGGTGGCACACAAACCTTGCTGGGGTGGCACACACACCTGGCTGGGATGGCACACACCTGGCTGGGGTGGCACACAAACCCCACTGGGGTGGCACACACCTGGCTAGGGTGGCACACACACCTTGCTGGGGTGGCACACACACCCTGCTGGGGTGCCCGCACAGCTCCACACGTGGGCAGGGGGGATGCTGGGGGCTCCCCCACACCACCCTTAGGACCCTCCCTGCCCAAATCTCGGTGCCTGAGCACCCCTGCCCTGCCACAGAGCCCCTGGTCAGTGGCAGGGCTGCTTGGGGGGTGGGTGATGGTGGTGGTGGCGCTAGTGGTGGCATCTTTGGTGGCACCCGTAATGCTGTGGGTTTGTTCACCTGGCTTTGGATTGACCATTTTAATTCTTAGCCCCCTTTAATAAAAACCGTCAAAACTGAAATAGAAACATCCTCTTCTGGGGGTTGGAACGAGAAGATATTTAAGGTCCTTTCCAACCCAAACCATTCTTTGATTCTCTGATTCTCTGGAAAGCTGAGGCAATTCCTTTCACAGGGATGTCAGAGCAAAACGTTTTGACCCAAGTGTGCTACTCCCCTGGGTATCTGCAGGGGAGATTTAGATCCCATTTACAAGTGGCTTCAATTCCCCAAAAGCAACATTTAGACAAACCTGCTCATTGAAAAAGGTGTTTTCTGGTGCTAAGATACAGATTTATCCTCGAGGAAGAAGCTGAAACAGTTCTTGAGGAGTTTTATTCCCTTCCCTGGTGTCAGCTCTGCACAGCCCAGGCATGGGATGGCTCCAGGCTGACCCAGTGTCCTGGCTGGGATCATGGGTGAGCCCTGGAGTCCAGAGCAAGCTGACTGATCATTTATCAGTGCCTGATCAGCAGGGAAAACGCCCTGGGGTGAGGTTTGTGCAGTGGGGACTCGGTGACCCCGTGGTGCCTGTGCTGGCAGAGCCAAGACAGACCCCGCTGCACCCCAAGCCCTGGGACTGGTTGAACCAGGGGAGCAGGACAGGGGAGCTTTATGGTGAGGGGCTGCAGAAGGGTCCTGGGGGTCCCCCATCAGCTCTGAAGCCAAGAGGAGCCGTCTCAGGGTCCTGCACAGGGAGATTTTTTAACCTCAAGTCAGGTTCACACAGAATCCCAGAATTATTTGGGTTGGAAGGGACCTTAAAGCCCATCCAGTCCCACTCCTGCCATGGGCAGGGACACCTTCCACTAGCCCAGGTTGCTCCAAGCCCTGTCCAACCTGGCCTTGGACACTTCCAGGGATCCAGGGGCAGCCACAGCTTCTCTGGGCAACCTGTGCCAGGGCCTCCCCACCCTCCCAGGGAAGGATTGTGTCCAGAGAGGCTGGAGAGGGGCCTGGCTCAGGATGGGGGTCCCTGGCCAGGCTGCCAGCTGTGCCAGGCAGGTGGGAGCTCTGGCTGGGGTTTGTTTGCAGCCCCCAGGCTCCCTCCTGTCCCGGGGGTGTTCCCAGCCCAGACCCCATCCAGCTGAAGCATTTGCTGCCCTGAACAGCACAAGGCCTTGCTCTCGTGATGGATCTTAATTCCAGCTGAGGAATGAGGTGTGATTATCGCTCCCAGACGCTCTGACTCATCCCTCACCAGCAATTAGCAGGGCTGATTGGTTATGAAACCTGTTCGTTAGCGCGTGTCTCATGATAATCTGCTTTAATTAGAGGGTCTCAGAGTCTGCCTTGCCTGTGGTCTTCAAGATGAATGATTTAGGTCTGGTACTGCCGTGCCCAACCTGACAGCCCTGCTCTGTCCCTGCCTCCCTGGAGATGTGGGACCTCCCAGGATGGGTACCAGCCCCCCCTCAGGGCATTCCTGCAGCTCTGGGAGAGACCCCTTCTCCCCACACCTGCTCTGCCAGAGCTCCTGGAAGCTCCTGGGTGTCTCCAGAGACCCATCCCCAAACCCTGCCCCTCAAACTGCCCCTGCCAGCACTGCAGGATGGGTTGGGTGTCCAGCCTGACGATGCTGCTGCTTTGGAGCAGTGACTGCAGAGGGAGGAAACAGCTGGATTCTGCTCTTCTGGAGCATGGAGCACCTTCCCACGGCGGGACTGGAAAAGCACTGGTGGCTCCAGCCCATGGTGAGCCCCAGGGAGGGAATTCTGTGCTGGGAGTGAAGCCCTGCTGATGCTCCTCTCTCCTTTGCAGCGGAGGCCACTTCAACCCTGCCGTGTCCCTGGGCGTGTGGCTGCTGGGGGGGCTGAACATGACCATGCTCATCCCTTACTGGCTCTCCCAGCTCTGTGGAGGGATGATAGGAGCTGGCCTGGTAAAGGTATGGACACCGGGGGCCTCTCCACCCAGGGCTGGGACACAGGGACTCCCCCTGCTCTGACAGAGCTGGCCTGACCTCCCCAGCCTACCGCAGCCCCAGGCTCTAAGGCCAGGCTAATTAACTAATTAATAGCTCCAGCTGCTCTCCAGAGGTTTGCTGTGCTGCACTAATTAGGCACAGAAGGACACACGGTGCCCCTGCAGCCCCTGCCGTGTGCTCACACAGTGTTTCCCTGCACTGGTACCTCCGGCACTGCACCACGAGGTCAGTTTAGGTTTGGTGCTGCCCATGCCCACCACCCTGGCAGCCAGCACCCACCTGCACCGAGTGGTTTGGCCACCACCACCCCCTGGGTGACTGGGTGAGGCTCATCCCTCTGGGAGAGCAGTGCCTGGCTCATTGTCCCAGGAGACTCTAAGAGCCTTTGCCCTGAGTTGATGTTTGCCGGGCTGGCTTTCAGGAGGCAAGTGCTGAGTTTAGCTCCTCTTTAACCCGCCCACGCTGCCCTGACAGTGAGCACATATGCCCGGGAAAGCCTCAATATGGAGCTTGGAGGGCTCTGATGGGCTCCCCCTGCACAGGCCGTGGCACCGAGCGAGCGCTTCGGGAACGCCAGCGGGGGAGCCTGCGGGGGCATCGCGGCCGACGAGCAGGTCCCGGCTGCCCTGGTGGGAGAGCTGGTCATGAGCACCTTCCTGCTCCTGGTGGTCTGCATGGGAGCCGTCAACGGGAGGACCAAGACCCCCCTGGCACCGTTCTGCATCGGCTTCACCGTCACGGCCGACATCCTGGCAGGGTGAGCTCCTGAGCCCCCTGCCCGTTCCTACTGGGCAGACGGTGCCATCCAGTGCCATCCAATGCCATCCAGTGCCATCCAGTGCCAGCGCTCCAGCAGCTGGTGTCACCAGGCAGGGTGGGACCGCTGGCTGTGGGGATGGAGCTGGTGCTCGGAGCCCCAGGGGCAGCTCTGAACACCCCCAGTCAGGGCTCCCCTGCTCCCGCCTCAGGCAGCTGCACTGTGCCCCAGGGAGGAGAGAGTGCCCGTGCCTGGGGTGGGATGGGGTGGGAGATGCCCTCATGCAGCACAGCACACACCCTGCTCTCCAGGGAAACTGAGACAAGCTGGGCACACCAGGGAGGAGTCAAAGTGCCCACTGGGTGCCCTGGCAGCTTTGGGAGAGCCGTGGTGTGCAGCCTGGCCAGGCACAGGGGTGTCTGTCAGCTCATCCCGGCGCGTGGCACCGGAGCTGGCGCAGCCATCACAGGCACCAGTGGTGGGTGATAAACCCCAGGCCCTCCTGGGCCATGTTTGCCGTAGGAAGCCCTGAGCAAACAGGAGAGGGTTTATGTCCTTCCTGTCCCCTGGCTGCTGGAAGTGCTGCCAGGCTTGCAGCTTTCTCCATGTGCCGGGAGAGCAGCCCAGCTCCGGTGCCGCTGTGATGGGATAATGAGCACATGCAAGTAGGAATGTTAAGGGGGGTGTTGGGCTAAGGCAGTGCCCCCCTGCTCTAGTGGGACCCCGAGCCCATGTTTACACACAGCACAAACCTCTTGGCAAATCTTTATCCCTTGCAGTTTTCTTTAACCTGTAATCGCTTCCATCCCCATCCCCTGCTCCACAACCTGTGCATGGCATGGAACCTTCCCTGTTTGACAGCCTGGCTCCTGGGATGCCCCAAAATAAACTTGGCACTGGTGCTTCTACCTCACACTGGGTTTTCCCCAGTAACTTGCCAGTGCCATGAGTGAAGGCCGGTGCTGGTGAGCAGCTGCTCCCAGGGCTGGGCTGGTCCCTGTGTGGCAGCTGAGCAGCCACTCGAGTCTGGGCTGCCACGGAAAACCATCCCTATGACCAAGCAGCCGTGCTGGGATGAGACCAGGGTGGTCTGAGCCAGGGGAGGGTGCTGGTCCCGTGTCCCCCCGCAGTGACACAGCCGCTCTGTTCCCATTCCAGGGGCGGCCTGTCCGGAGCCTGCATGAACCCTGCCCGAGCCTTCGGACCAGCTCTGCTGGCAAACTACTGGGACTACCACTGGGTTTACTGGGTGGGGCCCATGGTGGCTGCCCTCCTGGTCGGTGTGCTGGTGAGGTACGTGGTGCCTGTGGCAGTGTGGGGGGAGCGGGGCCATGCAGACTGACCCCCTGTGCCCCCTGTGCTGCTGCTCTGCTCCCTGCACCGACACTGCAAGCAGACACTTTTCCAGAAAGATGTCCACGGGCTGGAAAGTCCTTTCCCTTCTCCTTCTCATGAGGGCAGGATGACAGCAGAGTTCCAACCCGTGTCCAAATCCCTGTGTTTGCTCCATCCACATCTTGCGGGGTGAATCCAGCTCTGACTGGTGCTGAGCTGCTGCCATCGCCGTGTCCCTGTTGCTCCCTTGCAATGGCAAGAAGGGCTGACCTCGGACTCCTCTCTCTTTTGCCTCCCCACAGGCTCCTGATGGGCGACCGGAGCACTCGCCTGCTCCTGCGGTGACGGGCCCTGACCTGCTGCCCGTGGGGCTCTGCACAGCCCGTGTGAACCCTCCTGCTCCTGCTCCCTCCTCACCTTCCCGCCTCCCTCCGCATCTCCCAGGCACCTGCGGCCCAGCGATGGTTCCCCGGGCGCCGGAGGGAGGATGGGACCCCCCCAGCCAAGCTGTGGTTGCCAGGGCTCTGCCATGAGAGCAGCTCAGCAGGAGCCCCCTCTGAGCAGCCGCGGTGCCCATAGTGCCCCAGCCTCCCTCGGCATCACCGTGCACAGTGCCCGTCCCCCAGGGGTGTCCCTGGGCATCTGCGGTGCCAGGGGGCCCTGTGCCCTCTGGGTGGGCACTGCTGCTCCCCACTCAGGTTGTCCAGGGTGTTGCCAAGCGGCTCTTGCCCTTGGCCTGCCCCGTGGACTCTCCCACAGCGGGGGACAGAAGAAGGGAGCTTTGGGGACAGTCTCATCTCTGCCCCTCTGGGCATCAGGAGGACGGGGGTAGGGGGAGTTAAACACCCACCCAGAGCTCATGGGGGGTCATCCCTCCCCTGTCAGAGGGGTGGGCCAGGGGCCGAGGGGGAGGGGGGCTGTTTGGCAGAGGGGGTGCTGCCACAGGCAGGAGCATTCAGCAGAAGGGAAGCGAGCGCTGGAGCTGTGTGGGCAGGGGGAGAGGAGCCAGCACAGCAGCTTTGCGTCAGCCGGGCATCCATCCCCTCCAGCAGCTGCCCTGACTCATCCTGCGGCCTCCCCAGCCTCCCCCGGGGGCTTCACTGCTTCCCCCCCCCCCCCCGGGGGCTTGTTGGTGGTGAACTGGCACAAGGGTGTCACTGCGAGTACTCCCCACCCCGGCCAGGACCCCCCCTCTTCCCTGCATTTAGACCCTCTGAATTTTGCAAACTCTTCACCCTGGAAATGCCTGTTGCCTTCCCAGCCCCTCCCAGCGTGGCTCGGAGGTGCCCTGGGCTGGCCCTGGGGCAGGGGCTGTGCTGGCAGAGCTGTGCCCCCCACCCTGCCCACCAATGGGGCTGGAGGGCAGGGGGAGGCAGGAGCAGGAGAGGGCCCAGCTGCCCTAAGCAGGGCAATGGCACCTTCCCCAGGGCAGGAGCTGTGCTGGGCTCGGGCTGTTCCCCAGGGCAGGAGCTGTGCTGGGCTCAGGCTGTTCCCCAGGGCAGGAGCTGTGCTGGGCTCGGGCTGTTCCCCTCTCCAGCAGTCTGGAGGAAACCCTGGCATGAGGCAGATGCTTGTCCCTCTCTCCACAGGCAGCTCCTGGCAGCTGCTGTGACAGGGCAGTTCCCAGCTCTCCCCTGTCCCTGTGGGGTTGGCACAGCCCTGCCAATGTCACCTCTCTATTTTCAGCTTGTTTTCTACTTCCCAGCCCGGGAGGTGACCCACCCAGGGACACAGACACAAAGATGTGCTCACAGAGGACAGTTCTGCAGGGATGCTGGAGCGAGGGAATGCCGGGATTGGAGCATCCCTGGCTGGGAGCTGGGGGGTCGCTGCACCCCTGCCCTGGGCAGCTCCGGGGGCTGGGGAGGGGTCGTGGGCCCGGGGGCACCCTGGGCCCCAGGTGAGCCCGGGAACCGGCAGCTGCTCACTCAGGAAGGAAAATGATGCAACCCTCAGAAGGAGACAAACAGCATGAAGATGTCACTGGGATGGTTGTCATGGCAACACCACAAAAAATGCCAAACCAAACATGGACCAGAATCACTGTTTCTTCCCCAAAGGGGGCCTGGGGGGAGCGGCTACTGGTGGGAGCTGGTGCTGTGGGGAGTCACCGTGGGGACCCCACCTGCCCCTGCTCAGGGTGCAGATCTGTGGGAGCAGGGCTGGGGCCACTGGGCTGTGACGGGTTCCCCCCTTCCCCTTTCGAGAGGATGCTCGGCCCCTCGGCCCCGCAGGAAACGCGCTTGGCTGCGGCTGCCTCTGCATGGGGGGGCCTCCTGCACCCCCATCCCTCCTGCACCCCCATCCCTCCTGCACCCCCATCCCTCCTGCACCCTGATCCCTCCTGCTCCCCCATCCCTCCTGCTCCCCCATCCCTCCTGCACCCCAATCCCTCCTGCACCCTAATCCCTCCTGCACCCCCATCCCTCCTGCACCCCAGCTCCATCCTGCACCCCAGCTCCGTCCCTCACCCCACCTCCCTGCTGCACCCCTGTTCCAAGACACCTCTCCCAGTGGGTGCAGGAAAAGGGGGCTCAGCAGGTCCCCCTGGGGCAGTGATGCTGCTGCCTGTGGTCCCCAGGCAGGGGGGACAGGAGGGGACACGGCCCCGAGTGCCCCCCTGTTTGGCTGCTGCTGTGTTCAGCACATTCATCTCTCGTTTGTCAGGGTGACTTTTGATAAAGCATCTGTAACGCCACGTTGTTTTTCCTTGAGTATTATTAAAGTGCTTAATACATGCTAATTAAATACCAATTAACTTCCGAGCACTTAATGTGCTTTAAGGACATAAAATACATCTCATTCCCATTCAATTAAATTTGCATCAGACCTGGACATGGGTCTGCACCGTGTTTTTTCGGCACGCAGATCTCCTGGGATGTTGCCTGGTGTTTCCCAGGTTCTGGGTGCCTGTTGGGATGGAAATGGCTCCTGTTGGGGTGGAGATGCTGCTCGGGAGCAGGGCAGGCACAGGGCCCTGATGCTGTGGGCACTGGTGGAGTCACCAGTGGAGTGGTTGTCACTGAGGAATGGGGCTGTTGAGGACACCAACACTCACCCCCCTCATGATGGAAAGCTGGGAGAGCCCAGGGCACTTCAGAGGGATGCCAAAGGCTCCACAGACATTGGTCATGTGCTCAGCTGGGCACTGCCAGCCACGTCTGGCACCAGCACTTCGGGGACACAGGGAAAAAAATTGGGGTGTGCACTGGGAGCAGCATCAGAAGGATGTTTGTGTGCCCCTGTCTCTGCCCCCGCCCTTCCTGCGCTCTCACTGCAGCTCTGTCACTCTGGATAAACACCCTGGACAGACAGGGAACAGGCAATAAGGGCGTGCTCTCCCTGGGTCGTGCTCCTGGTGCCAGCCCAGCCACAGGAATGCTCAGGTTCTCGCCCATGGCAGAGGCTCCTGCCAAAGCCCCTGGTCTGTGGCACAGCCACCGCTCTGAGCTGCTCACCCACAGCACGGCCGGCACCGGCTGAGCCCAGCTCGGCTTCTGGCCCTGACTTTGGTTTCTGGTCCCAGTCCAAGCTGGCTCCCACCCCCCTGTGAGACCCTCAGCCTCGCAGCAGCTCTGGGGGGGTTCATGTCCTACCCTGTACCCCCAGCACAGCCGGTCCCTGGTCCCCGGCTGGTGGCCGTGGGCACACAGCCTCTGGCAGCTCCTGGCACTGGAAATGCTGATGTGAGGCCCGAGAACGTGGGAATGAACGGCTGAGCCTCCCCCCTTCCCCAGATCTGCTGCGCTGCAGCCCCCCCAGAACAGGGAATTCCCGGCTGGGGGGCAGCGAGGGGCAGCACTGGGTGCCCCCGCCCTGGCACAGAGCTGGGCAGGAATCACTCTGTGCCCACGCCGAGGGCAGCACAGCTCAGCCTGTGCCAGGGGCTGCTCCTGGAGAGCCCAGACACCGGCGCTGCACACGAGTCCCTTCGCTGGGAGGATCCAGCTCCGTTGCTGCACCGATTCCCGAGCATCCCTGGTCTCGCCTGCAGTGGGGAGACAGGGGCTGAAGGAGGGATAACTCTGCCTGTCAGCAACAATCAGGCAACGAGGAGGAACCCCAGGGCCGGGAGCTGGGCGAGGCTGTCCCCGCGGTGGGGTTGCCTCGGTGCTGGGGCCTCACCGGGCCGTGCTCCTGCACAAAAGGCTTTTCATTTGGGCAGAACAACGCCCAGCTGTTTCCTGTGCCCGCCGCCTGCCAGCCCTCTCCCGCAGTCTGGGAAAGGAGGAGCTCCCGGAGTTTTCCCTTCCAAATCCTTCTCCCAACAGGATTAGGGGGGCTGTCAGTGTATTCCCCCAAAGCCTGGTCTTAAAATAGCAGCACCCCCGAGCAGAGGTGCCCGAATGTGGCAGGGTAGGATGGATGAATGCTTTTAGAACATGCCCCATGAGAGCATCTGGGAATTCTCCCGTTGCTCGGCTCTGAAGGTTTTCCGCAGCTGGAGAAATCACAGCCTGAAAAGGAAAGGTGAATGAATCCTTTGAGCTCGTTTTGCCCGTCGGGCGGATCCGCGGTGGCTGCGGAGGGCGGACCCCGAGCTCATCTCCCCGTGTCTGTGCCAGCCCTCGGCGCTGCCCGAGTGCCACGGGGAGCTCCCGGGGGTGCTGAGCCGGGCCGGGGTGCTGGGTGGCTGCGTGGGCAGGGCCGGGGGCGCGGGGACAGCGGAGGTGGGCGCTGACGTGCGGAGCCAGCTCTGCTCGTGAGCTGGCAGCTGCATGTAGGAGCCGGGAGCGATGGGGGAGTGGGAGTCGGGATGTATTCTGGGGAAGCTTTTACAGCCACGCCATCAGCGGGCACAGGGACGGGGATGGGCTCCTGCCCCCCTGGCCCTGGATGGTGCCCGCGGGGTTGAGGACTGTCCCCCCAGACTGGGCATCATCCCTCATGGCTCTGCCACGTCCCTCACTGCTGTGCCACGTCCCCTGATGATGTGCTATGTCCCTCGACACTGTGCCATGTCCCCTGATGATGTACCATGTCCCCTGACGCTGTGCCATGTCCCTCGACACCGTGACGTGTCCCTCACTGTCATGCCATGTCTCTCCTCACAGTGCCACGTCCCTCACTGCTTTGCCATGTCCCTTGCTGCCATGCCAAGGCCCTTGGCACCGTGCCACGTCCCCCACCACCGTGCCACGTCCCCCACTACCGTGCCATGTCCCTCGCCACTGTGCCACCACGCAGCCCCGGAGCGCTGTGCCAGCCTCCACTGCTGCATTTGCTCTCCTGCCCCCCGAGCGAGGCCCCGAGCTGGAGCAGCCCCCCCGCCCATCAGCAGGTATGCAAAGAGCACTAACGAGCCTCCCCACCGCATGCAAAGCTCCGGGGCTCCTGCCAGAGAC